CCCGGCGCCTTTGATCACCACGGCCTTCGCACGGGTGGAGCATCGGCCTGCTTCGCCTTGGAGGTGCCCGAGCAGCGCATCCGCCACTGGGGCGACTGGCGCAGCGCTGCCATGTGGCGGTACATCGATGTGTATCGACTCCCATCGGAATGGGATTACCGTTTCTTCGGGTGGATGATGATTACCGCCCGAGACTTGCATGAGAGGTATGGCCACATCTTCTGCTCCGGAGGAGCTTCGTGTGTCCGAGGGTGACTGGGCACACAAGTTGTGGCTACCTCGGGTTGTATTGGGAAAAACAATGTTTTTGTAATGTATTGGTCCAGTGTGTGTGTGGACCTGGGCGGGACAAGGAGCCCGGCCCAGCGGAAATGGGATTAACTATCTTGTTAAGGGGTTTCTGCCCAGGGCGACAAGGGGGGGCGCGCTGGCCCAGTCGGACCAGCGCTGCTTCAGTACACCGGTTTTTGACGGCCCCTTGGGGTTTCTGTCCCCCTGTACCTTGGGTCAGTGGCCAGTTCGGCGCCTTCAAGGAGAGCCAGTAGTTTTTGGCGCCCTTGGTAGCGGCGGGCTTTGGCGGGCGCGAGCGGGGAGGCTACTTAGGCTCACCCCTCGGTCCCCACCTTATCTTGTTTCGCTTCCCGCCCGGCCCCCCCTATTAGGGTGATGTTCGGTTGATTTTGAGGCAAGTGTGGGAGTTAAGCACGATGGAATGAGGTGTGGTGGGTCTGACTCAAGGGTTGAGTCTAGTATGGGACTGGCTTAACTACTAGCAAAGCGACTGGGCACACAAGTTGTGGGTACCTCAGGTTGTATTGGGAAAAACAATGTCTTTGTAATGTATTGGTCTAGTGTGTGTGTGGACCTGGGCGGGACAAGGAGCCCGGCCCGGCAGAAATGATGGGCAAGGTCGTTAGTGACTATTCTATGCAACATATTTTTTTCTTAGCTGGATCGGAAATGGTAGGGCCTGAAAAGCCCAAAAACAATAGCTTGGCCATTGTTTGGATTATGGTTTTTCACAACTCAGCTGTGAAAGCCGTCAGTATGGCACGATTTCTATGCTCAAAGTTCATTTTCCAACTAGATGTTCCCAATGACTTCACTTTACAAAATAGCTCCTACAAAAGTTTTACAAGTGTCCCGCAGCTGCTAATGCTTTTGTGTTGTAGACTTCAGCCCTCAGAAAGCTCACAAACAAAGAAAACAATCAGACCAAAAATCACAACAAAACATTCCAACTTGTGGGCAGCATCTCCGATTGTGATTGGATGCACCACGTGGTGCATCCAATTGTGCACAATGCCCACAACGATTTTTTTTGGGGGGGAGGGGTCCGCGGGGGGGGGGGACAGGGGGAAGTTGTCCATCTTCACCACACTGATCGAATCCTCCTCTTTTGGGGCCGCCCAGCTTGTATATCCCTCACTGCAATAAGTAAAGCTTGTTCTTCCTGAACACCATCTTCCTGATTGGCATCCTCATTAACTTCAAGGAGAATATTATGCAGCAATGGTAGGCAAACTGACCTTGATAGCCATCCAAATATAAAGATGTTCTGCAGATGTGGTGTAAATATTCATTGAGCCATCGATTGGCAACAACAAGGACACCAACGTACCTTGCCAAGTGGATGGCATGTGCCTTGCCAAGCAGATGAAATGGCGGCAAGGGATCCCTAGTCGCTCCCAAAATAAGCAAGAGCAACTCCGTTGATTGAGGTCCGCCCTCTCAGAGGTGTCGCTTCTAGTAGGACCGTGGTCTGGTCTGGCACCATACCGGTGCCAGTACGGCGCCAGTCTGGTGCCGGTCTGGCAATGCGTCTAATGTACAGGGTGCGGTCAGAGGACCCCTTTTTGTCACAGAGGACCCCCTTTTGTCAAGATATCTCACGGGCTCTGTGAGTTCCTTTGGGGAAACCTTTTTGTCATTTTCCCTTTAAACTATGCAGATCAAGGATCACAATCATGGAGAGCGGCACTACTAACTTGAGAAACAACAATAACAATAATGCGTCCTGAGAGTTTCTATCCAAACCAGTGCACATTTCCGAGCTAACACCAGACCTTACGGTGTAGCCCAACTTATGGTATTTGACATCCTCAACATTTTGGGGACTCTTACGTTAGCCGGTGAGCATATCCCGCACGAGTTTCCAAATTGTCTCAAAGATATACAGTGGCACTGCTTGCCAATACAACCAACGTGGCCGCCCTCTTTCTCGTGACCCAATGATGATCACCACCTTGGCGACCCCAGCAGTTGCAACTGACTGCACGAAATCCGAAGCTGACTCCTTTCCACACATATCTAAAGCAATGCAGCTACTACAACTTGCGCTTTGGACGAGTCACGTGAATTTCCCTCGGCTATCTGCTGGTAGGTATGGTGGTTCTCAATAAACTCCACCAAAATGTCTTTTCTCCCAGTTAAAGATGGCTTCAGCGGTTTTGATGGCAACCACACGGTGATTTATCGTGTTCCATCGACTTTCCGTCAAAGGGAGATCTTTCCGTCGAGCATCTGGTGTCCCAAGGACTCGCTGAACGAAATACCAAGGACCACTTGGCTGCTGCAACTGGGCACTGTCCATTTCGTCGCGACGCCACTCCTCCATACGTGCGGGGCCCTTTGAATGTGGATTTCGAATGTCTCACCGAAAAATTCAAGATGCGCTAGGTCTGGTGTTGTTCCATTCCTATCTCGCGCCGATTTGTAGTCCATGCGCTACATGCCACCTACTATCAGAGGGGGCCTTCGCCAGTTTTTGTGTTAAATTTTCACGTAATCAGGAAGTTTTCCAATTACTCAAATGGCGGTCCACACTCCCGCTCGTAGGTTGTATGTACTTAAAAATATACTAAAACACCTTAGACTGGCAACAGAATGTAACCTTGCTACTATCGCATGTATAAAGTGCATTCGTGTGACACTCCAATTTCTGTCCCTATCCTTTCTTGAGAATTGTTTTTCGACAAACTCGCCCAATTGAAGGTCCGTAACAGCCCCCCTATGGTCTTTCGTAGGGCGGCATAGCCAAGAACGAGAGGCTGCGGGAGTCGGAGGCAAAGAATGACAATAAGTAAACGCTTTAGTACAACAGCACTGCTCGAAAGCTCATTGGGAGTGCAGCTGGCTGCTCTCTTAAGACATTTTTTGGATTATCAGGCTGGCTTCCCATGTGTTGCTTACAAATTCGCAAGTTATCATGTGTGTGTGTTTTTTTTTAGTAGGCTGCGTAATGGACTCCGTAATTTGCCAGGGGAGGGAAAAGCGAAATTCCACCAGCGCTCGCAACGCGAAATTCACCAAGACTGCCAGGATCCCACCATCCATCCTGGCCCCTCCCCTAGTGGGAGGGCCCGACGGTCCCGCAGGCGCCTAGCGCCAGGAGACCGCCCCGAACACGTCGGCCCAGGCGAGGGCGCTTCCACGGCCCGCTCGCCGGCTGTCGCCCTACCGCCCCGCCTGCCCTTGTTTGGCGCCGTTGCCCGCTTGCGAGGCCCGCCTCGGCTGGGGCAGCCCTCCTAGAGGGCGTGCCCTTTAGCGCGTCACGGGCGGCCCCCTCCGTCCGCGCGTCCTCCCCACGGTCCGCCTCCTCTCCTTCAACGCCCTCCTCCGACCTCGCCCACAGAACTCCTGACCAAGTGTCGCAAGACAACATATCGGGCGGGTCAGTTTTTTGTGGTTGACTATGGGCGTCGCCTTGAAAACGCGCCGAGAGGGGGCTGCCGGCGATTACCTCCAGTAATTCACCACTACGTTGTTGCACAGCATTTGTTGGAGAGTGAAGGGTTGCAGCAGAGTCTGTGCGCGCTGGGCGCGTACCTCGAGTCTTCGATGACTACAGCCACCGCGAAGGCGAAGTCCGGCGGCCGCCCGCGCCCCGTTCTGCAGCAAGGCAAATTGACAAAATAATGGGTTGAGTAGTGTGGGGCTTCGGCGCCGAAGGGGCACTCGCACCTGCGTGCCTCGTTCGGGCTGCTCTGAACAGGGGAGGGGGCAGACGTCGGGAGGTGCGAGAGTGGTGAGAAAACAGTGCCCAGGGATCGAATTCATGCGCCCCGACATCGCCGCTGACGTCAGGCTTGACGTGGTGCTCGCGGGCATGTCAGCGATCGGAGGTTGCGCTCCTATTCTTGATAGGAATTGGAGCTGCACCTGGATTGGCACCACCACGTGAACCGCGGCAAGGAAGTGAGGAGCAAGCCGTGATTGCATGAGGCGCAACCTCAGTGCGCAGTCCCCTCTGGAATCCACGAGATGGAAGTTCACGTGTTCCTCACCAATCGCGGGCAAACACTGGCGCAAGGCGGGCATGTTTCAGGGAAAATCTCCTCCTGCTCCATCGCCGCAGCTCACGGATGTCTTTGTAAAAGCGTCGCGACACGCCAGGCGATGTGTTACGACATAAACCAGCGGATCACAAAATGCGACAAGCACACAACTTTGGGCCAGCATGGCAATGTTGGTCGAAAAAATCCATGTCGATACATGCACACACAGCTTGCATTTTGTGCTTTGACCTGAGCTTCGTTGGCCGATCACACGGCAAATTGGAGGCATAGGAGGCAATAGTCATCAAGCCAACCGATAGCGTCATAGCTCCCAGGAATTTCTTACCAGATTTGTTGGACAGCTTGTCAAGGGCCTACATGAAACATTGCAAACCTTGTGACTTGGTTGCAGTCTCTTTTAGTAGTCGTGGTTGGGCTTCAGGGATGCACCAACTACTGGAGGCTGCGATCGTCGCAAGAATGTACATTGCGCATGGTTGGGCTTCAGGGATGCACCAACTACTGGAGGCTGCGATCGTCGCAAGAATGTACATTGCGCAGTTCCGACTGTAGTACTGCAATAAGTGCAAGCCACAGCGGTAGTACTAATGGGATACGCCCCACGGAGTCTGTGCGTATGTTTAAAGCACTTGGTCGCCGCCTTGGCTTGTGCTTTCCCCGCTTCCACCCGCCGCCCCCCCACGCGGCCCTGTCGTTGCCCCAATGGCTTCGAGGAAACTGAGCGAGCGGCAGAAGGCGCTGTTCGAGGAGGGGGCGGCGCTGGTGCTGACGCGCTGGACAGCGCTCAACCTGGCGGTCGAGAATGGGTTCGGGGGCCCAAGGAGCGCCGACAAGGCGGAAGAGATGTGCGGGGACGTCCTGTACTGGTTCGAGGTCACGAAAAGTGGGTGGTGGCTGCCCATTTGACGGGAAAACGAACGCGGGATGATTTGTCTTGGGGCTCTGCTCCCGCAGCGTCGAATACGGTGGAAGTATTTCGATTGCAGCTGATTCGCTGAGGATTTGATCAAACATCGTCTCTGATGTCGCGGCAAATAAGGCAAAGGGCTCATGCGAACGTTGGGGGCTGTGCACGAAATAGGCCTGGGTGTGGATTGCTGGTGCAGACATTGCCCTTCATCCTCTGATGTCTTGCACTGATTGCCAATGCGCCATCTAATGCCCCATAGCCTAGTTTTCAACAACCATTTTCTACAGTGTGTAACACAGTCGCAGTCATGGGAATTGCATGAGACATGGGGTTAGCCCTGGCTGTGTCGAATCAGACAAAATGAGAGACTTTGTGAGCAGATTGTGTTTCTCATATAGGCATTTCGTGGAACAACATTTGCTCTTGTGAGCAAGCTGTGTCGATTTGGAACGAGGAAAGATGCAGAAACTTCTGATTGTGATAGCAACAGCACAGAATACGAGTAAAATAAAAACAATCGAATTCGCATGCAAATGATTGCTTTGCAAATCTTGTTTCCGATGTCGTCCAACACTGACATGTTTAGCATTACTCCTTGCAAGTAAGACAATACCTGGAGATTGTATCCAACATCGACTGTGGCAGCCACCGGGAACCCCGTAGAAAGCAGATGCCATTTGTTTCATCCGATGAAACAGCAACCCCATCTGCCTTCTCAAACCAAAGCCTTGCCATGTCAAACCAACTCCAGCTGCTGGGGCGGTTGCGGGTGGAGCTGTGCAGTGTGGGTGCCAACGACGCCCTTCACAGCTTTTGTTGTTTTGTGGTTCCTTGTAATTGCGTTGTGGGTGTGAAGGACAATGAACTACGGGACGAAAGTTGGCACTGGGCTGCTGTGGAGTTATTGCTTTGAGAACATGGCATCCTTCCCTGCACTCTATGCTCTCCAAAGTGATCCGCTGCTTTATGATCAGCAATGGCACTTGCTTTTCCAGTCCTGTGGGAGTCCACAATACCCCATCCCTGGGAACCAGCATTTCTTTGTTTCCAGAAGGTGAAGTCGATGCTATGTTTTGAAGAAGAGCTCCAAAGCAGTGCCTTTTACAAAACAAGGCCCCAGAAGTTTGCCATGAACCCAACATTGTGGACCACAGTCTGCACAGCCAATGCAGATTCTGCAGCGGAGGATTCTTTGTGACAGGAACAAAAACTTGTCAAGCAATGGCCATGACCCTCCTGTGAGACTCTTTTGCATGCTATCAAAGATGGCACGGGAGTTTCTAAGTGCAACAGCAAAGTGCGCGAACACAGCAGCATGGAGAATGGTTTGGCTTACACTGTGAATGGTTGCATGAGCCTGATCTTATATCGCCCGCTGCTGATTGTGGGAAACATGCAGTCTTGCGCCAGAAAACTAAAGTGAACTGTGGCAGCTGCTCTCAATGCCAATTCTAAAGCTGGTATTCTGGTGTCCCTCATTCTGAGTGCAGACGAAGATTGTTGAGTTACGTGCCTGCTTCCCGATCTTGTCTGTTGAAACAGTGCCTGACGTCACCCAACTGGCTCAAGGGCAGTGAATTGGGATAGTGTGGTGATTGCAGTCAGTGCTGTTTGACATCATATGCCTTATTTCCATGAGCAGATCCTGATCCAGTGGCCCTTGAAGAGCAGCTCTGCACAGCTCTGTCTGAGGACTTCAACATGGAAGCACAGGATGGCAGCCCACAAGAGGTAAAGTTGGCCACAACTTTATTTCAAGTAACGGAGATGTGCAAAGCCACTCCTTTCCATTGGGTTGAGGTGACGTGGAGCTCTGCAGCAGTTGGCCAGAAGTCAAAAAGCAGATGCAGAAAACAAGTTTCTCTTGTGACTCCATGAAAGACGTGCAAGGGCCAAGGCAGGCTGTCATTTTGTTCTCTCACATCGCCCAGCCAGGAAGAAATTCCTTCCTGTACGGAGAGCTGTGCATAGTGCTCAGTTGTGCAAAGGAGCAAATCGTACGAATCCACTGTGGATCGATCTGCAGTGACTTTGGTTTCCCCTCAGGCAATGCTTCAGAATGAGACGACTATCGCAGCAGCTGTGGGACTGTCCCACTGCAGCATGTCGGTGCTATTGGTGTGATTGCTTTGTGTTCCGTTGCACCATTACCTACAACAATCCAGTCGATGTGTTGATGCGGCTGAAGCATAATCAGCTGCCATATTCAATGATATTGGCACATGAATTGTCAATTGATTGAATCGAGGATAGAACCGTCCACTATGAGTCCATGTTGGTTGTGTGCTACAAGGGGGAATACCAGTGGTAAAGTCACTTGTCTTATTTATTTTCGACACAGTGGAGCAACAAGTAGAACAACCTGCTGTACAGGCATATCCAGCATGTCAACTTGTGTCAGTACCAAACAGGCACGTCTACATCTTGTGAAAATGTGTTTAGCCAAAGGAGAATGCGAAAACCAAGCCTGAGGCTGAATCAACTAACTAAATCAAAGTGAATCAGTTCAGGGGCCAACAACATGACGATCACCTGGCAATCATGCATGCCACGGCCGATTGTTGATTGATTGAAAGTGCGGCAGACAT